GTGAGACGATTTATATGTTTGAGATATTAGCCTGGTATCTGTTGTGTTGTAAATACTTCCTCTTTTTAAAAATTTTATTATGGTATAATGTATATTCATCAACATACACAGGTTGAAGTGTACATCTCAGGGGTTTCGACAAATGAATAGACCCATGTAACCACCCTTCCAATCGAAAGACAGATCATTTCCATCATCCCAGAAAGTTCTTTCATCCCCTTGGCTGTCCAGCTCCCTTGAGGCCCCACCCTCTCCTGCGCCTTTCCCTGACTTCTACCGCCCTCACTCCGTTCTGCCTCTTCTCAGAGCTCACGAACACGGAATCATATATGGGAGCTGTATATAGCTGGCTTCTTTTCCTCAGCACTGCAGAGGCCACTTTTAGGCAACAGGCTTGAGCAATGGAAACGTGAGCCAGACAGAAAGACCCACAGTGACCACCACACTGCAAACAGGCTCCTTAAGCGACCCGCCTCAAAATGGCCACAGAGCCCAAGTGACCAACGTAACCATGTACATTTACCAAAAGAGGGAAAGTTCCATACGTGCCCCTACCTCTTTACTCTGCCTTATAACTACAGCCCCCACCACGGCCTCCTCCAAAGACCTCCTCCTCTCCCTTCCATCCTGCACGCTGCTCCCTTTCGGCATATTCAGCAAACGTCTACCTCCTCTGTTCCGTGCTGAGTGAATTCTTTTAGGACCTGCACCACAGGCCCCCACCCCATCGGGACACTGAAACACAAGCTAATGTTTAAAATTCATATGCTGTGGCAGGTATCAAGTTTGTTCCTTTTTATGGCTGTCAACTTGTTCATGGTACTATTTACCATAAGGCAACTTTTGAAAAATTCTATAGCTTCTGGGTTTCTTGATTTGAAATGCCTTTCCAACTCTTGAATTATAGTCATCTAAATATTATTCTAAGATTCTTGGGGCTCTGGGTGGCTCAGTTGGTCAAGCGTCTGCCTTCAGCTCAGGCCATGATCTCAGGGTCCTGGGATCAAGCCCCACATCAGGCTCCCTGCTCAGTGGGGAGCCTGCTTCTCCCTCTCCCTCTACTCACCTCCCTGCTAGTGCTCGGTCTCAAATAAATAAATAAATAAAATAAAATCTTAAAATATATATATTATTCTAAGACTCTTGCTCTTTATATATATTTATAAATATATAAATATATTTAAAGTCATTTGGAAATTAAATTCTTTGTAATTCATTTAATTCATTTGGGAATTACTGTGGAAAATGATGAGAATTGGGGCACCTGGGTGGTAAGTGTTGGTTAAAGCCTCTGCCTTCGGCTCAGGTCGTGATCCCAGAGTCCTGGGATCGAGCCCCACATCCGGCTCTCTGCTTAGCAGGGAGCCTGCTTCCTCCTCTCTCTCTGCCTGCCTCTCTGCCTACTTGTGATCTCTCTGTCGAATAAATAAATAAAATCTTAAAAAAAAAAAAAAGAAAATGATGAGAATAGGGATCCATACTACTTTTTCTCAGACAACTGAGCTTTGCCAGCACCATTTCATTAAATGAATCATCTTTTCCTCACAACACTAAAAATTACCTAGTGGTGGATATTTATCCTGACAATTGACAAGTATGCCGGTGAAGTACTCCTGACAATACTTATCTCATGCCCAGAAGGCTCAAAGATAGGTATCTTTTGAAAAACAGAAATGGTATCTCTCTCCTGCTCTTAAAAGTCTTCAGTGCCTTAGTGCCACTGAAGTCATAATCAAGACTGCCTGTGGCCCCTGCCAGCATTTAGGCCGTCACTAGCTACCACTCCCCTCCCCTCACCCCTGCACTCCAACCCCTGACCCAGGCTTCTCCCAGCTCCTCAAGCTCTCATCCTTCCCGTCTGCTCACACAGAAGACCTCTGCTTGGGGCTCTTACCTGCCCTTCTCCCACCTACCTAAGCCTGGCCGTCTCCCACTCTTCCTTCAAGCTTAACACCACTTCTTCACCAAGTCTTCCCCACCCCACAAAGTGGGAAGCCCTACTCCCCTCACCCCCATACGCTTTCTTCTCAAAGGTCTTAACTGTCCTCTTCTCCTTCACAGCATGGTGCACACTTAGAATAAGTAGCTATTTGCTTCGTGTCCTCTTCCCCAGTATGCTGGAAGCTCCAAGAGGGCAAGGACCATTTCTATTCTGTTTACCACTCTATTCCTGTATACTCTCATTAACTGATCCAAGAAATACTAATTACAAAGAAATCAGTAAGAACAATGAACACAACAAAAGCATCACAGAATGGTAAAAGGAAAGTCACAGAAGAAATACAAAAAAGCAAATAAAACATGAAGATGGTCAATGCATTAATGATTTAAGGAAAAAAAAAAACAAAACTAACCAGGTCATTAAATCAAAATAAATTGGTACAACCTTCTGCAAGGCAACATGCTAATACCTTTTACCAGATGATTCCATGACCAGGAATTTACTCTACAGGAACACTCATTTAAATTAGCAAAGATATGTACACAGCTTTCTCTGCAGCACTGTTTCTAACAGAGAAAAATAAGAAACAACCCAAATGGCCACAGTTGGGTTTTAAGTAATTATCATTTAGCCCTCTGGTACTATGTTGATATGAAAAGGTATCCAAAATACACTAAGTCTAATAAAACGAGCTGCATTTATATAAAAATACTATTATTAAGTCCCTCACAATGCAAAGCTTAAAAATCTAAGTATAAATGATTATAGCTACATATATATATATTTTGAAAACTCAATTTATCTCTGAAAACTGCTATTTCTTTTCTAATTTATTCATGTTCACAATGATTATTTTAACTATGGGGATATATTAATTTTTTAATTAGGGAAAGCATGTTGCTTTTTAAGAGTCATCTAAACTGAAACTTGATTTTTTACAGTGTTGGAAGTTCTCAATTTATAAAAGTGTATCCATAAACTTTAGACAGATCTCCAAAATTGATGGCCAGGAAAAACAATGTTTGTTTCAAGTAGATAAAATTACTGTACTGTCTCTACCAACATACTGTAAGCAATTAAGGAAGCAAATCTAAAATATTAGGTCAAGACTGTTTACTCCTTAGCCAAATGCTCAAAAGTGTATTTGACTGATATTTCATAAATGTACGTATTTCTAGTAGTATACAATCCACAAAATACAAACATTTTAATGCAGTCATCTTAAAATTCCTGATCGTTTGATAATTCAGGTTTCTGAGTACTTGTTACTCCCAAATATCTCACTCTACAACCAAAGCTAGTGCTTAAGAACATTTTTCTAATAGAATGAAATCTAAGTATACTCTCTATTTTCTGAAAGCCAAATCTCCTCTGCAATTGACAGGATTGTCTGTGCTTCTCAAAAAATGGGAAATTATGAGTTAATATTATTTAAACGATTTTTGTACCAGGCACTGACTTGTACCACTTGGTGCCCTCTGTCTCCAGAGAGTAAGATGAACTACACAAACAGCTCTGAGGAGAATCAACATTTCAACCAGGGATGGTGAGATAAGTTTTAGTTTTGACTTTAAAGTTTTTTCCCATTTCTTGCTATGCTGCTTTCAATTTCTTAAAGGAATGAGTTACACCTATTTAAACAGATAATGAGCACACCCCACAGCACTCGCATAGTCTGCACACGAAATTTAAATTGCAATTTTGGGGGAAAGTAATCACACACTACAGTCAAAAACTTTACAACTCTGTGTGCTATTTATCTGCCCTGGTGATTCCAACGCTAGAAACTGAACGTAAAGAATCCAAGCTATGCTCAGAATTTATTTATTATCCTCATAGCACTTTCTACAATGGAAAAAAAATGAAACATCTTGTAACGTGGGTTTAGTTAAATACTTCGTAGTATGATAGGACTATGTGAAAAGTCACTACATGCAAAAAAGAAGCACATGAAGACGTTTTGTCCTTTTGTCTCATAGTCCATTTTATGTCACCCCACTAAAATTAAGCACACTGAAAGCAAGGACTTTGTTTTACTCCCGGCTTTATTCCTAATCCTTAGAACAATGCCTGGCACATAGTAGTCACTCCAAGTTTTAGAAAACAAATGAATTCGAGTAATGGAAGTGTGCACAGAAAAGGTTTGAGCTAGAAACACATACAGCAGGCTCATATAACAAGTCCATTTACTTTACTGGGATTCAACTGTCCAGACTAAGAAAAACAAAAGAAGGAAATAAAGTAAATCAAGCACTCTAGTCCTAGTGAGAATCCTAGCGAGAATCCAGGGAGAAGCCGAGTCTGCCGCACCCCCTCCCTCCGCCCCGCAGATCTCAGATCACAGTGGCTCTCACACAGTGGCTACCACCCTAGACAAGAGTGATTCTAGAATTTAAAACACAATATGGCCCCTAAATATAAGACAACAACTTACTCTGGTGCTCTGCCCCTCCCAAAATAGTAATTTTCTCCAAAATTGGGCATTTTAAAAGGATTTCCAAGGGGAAAAATATTGCCTTAGAAGAGAACCTCAGAACCTTGCCTTCCCACCTCCAAATAAAATTCAACTCTATTGTATGCCATGGTGATAAACACAGATATATCAGGGGATGAATATGTATGCTTTCTTTGTTTTTATTTTTTTCCTAATACCTCTATAATTAACAAATGTTGTTTTTGCAGTAAAAATAAAGCTCTGATTTTTAAATAGCCCACAACAGTCCTTTCAACATTTATTACAGAAATGGTAGGGAAAAAAAGAAATGTTAGATCTGGTATCAGTATTCCTCTCCTTGACCTAAAGCAACACTACTCCTGTAGTACAACTATAACTATACTCGTGCAGCACATTATTCCCTCTATCCCTCTACACTACTTTAAACAGTTTTTTAGTTAATAAACATGTAACTCAAACTATATACCTTCCAACAAGAATAAGGCAATTTTCTATTTCTATTACAATCCATTTAAATTTGTAAGAAATAGCAAAGTTCTTTACTGACGTGCAAATTAAGAAATAATAATAATAATAATAATAATAATAATGAGGAGGAGGTACCTGAACATCATAGAGTGCTACAATATTTTCATGCTGAAGTTCCTGTTAAGGAAATTGAGAATTTAAAATATTTGTGATCGCTCTAATAAATATATCTTAATATGCAAATAAATACTAAGTGTCCACACACATACACGTACTATATACTCTTTCTATATACTACACTTCCGTTACTGGATTAGAACAATTCAATCTACAAAGAATAAGAGGAAATGTGCCTAATCAAACTACCTGAACCCTAAATGCTTCTTCACCAAGATCGTTTCTTAGACTCTTAACAAGGTGAGTACTCTCATTGACATAATAAATGTCATAGTTAGTAGGACCAGACTCTCTGGGGGGGTCTTTCGAATTCAATATACATTTCTAAAAGCAATAAAGGCATGAAATTCCAAAGTGCTTTTTAAGAGTACATTATTTGCCTGAAAGAAAATAAAGCATGATTCTTAGCTCAAAGAGCTGTAATTCTTACCAAAAAGCTCTCCACAGAGTAGTAGTTTTGATGAAAGCTGGTGTGAGGTGAGAGCTCTATGTTTACATCAGCTTGGGGAACACAGAGTTAAATACACCCAAGCCAGTTTCTATTGCACAATTTTTCAGATTTTCTTTACTGAGCAAAGTGCTTTGTGACTTTCTAAGAAGTATGCAGTAAACAGGATTTTCCACATGTATTTGACTGGGTGACGATTTTTTTCCCCAAAGCACCTCACTTGGATAACACTGCTTGTGAGAGATCTAAAAAGACCACTTCCGAGGTAAATAAATTTTTTTTATTTTTTTTTTATTTTTTTTTCGATTTACAAGGAGAAAAAGATTCTACCCCCCCCCAATACTTAAGTGTCACCTGAAAGAGATCAAGAGAAGGGCTAAACGGATAAGAAGACTGTGCCTCTTCTCAAACAGTAACACAATAACTAGAGAAAAGAAGAAATTAGAAGCTAAAATCAGTCTTCACAGAATTCCTCTAAGCGCGGGCCACAGGCCACAAACATCTATTCTTAAAAATAGCTTCCGAATACTCAAATGTCTCAAAAAACGGAGCATGCAAAAATGAGAGCAACAGGTGAAAATTCTCAAACCTGGCTCCAAGCGCCAAAATTACTAAAGATGTCATCGTGCATTAATTTAAAATAAGTTTTAACCCAGTATGAAATACCACATAAAGCAACATACCTTTAAGATCTTAATTTCCTTCCCAAGCAGTATTTGTGATTTTGACAAGTTCTTTTTATTAATACTTTTAATAGCTACCTCCCAATCAGTTTTCTGAAAAGGAAAAGTAGTGTTACTCCGGGAAACTGTTTTACAGAAACATCATCTACAAGGTGTTCTTAGCAAATTCATAAACACTGGGGGGAGGGAGGGATGGAAAAGAATCTGAATCTCCAATAGGAAAAGGATTTCATAAATTAAAAGCTAATGTCCTACAAGACAGCCACTAAAAACAGTAACTACTAAGACCACATAGTAACCAGCAGGAAGTGAAACAAAGGACAAAGTTTACAGCCACTTTAAAGTTACAGAGAAATGCAGATAATAAACTGGAAGGCGGTATTTGATCGCCTGGCAAGATTTAGCCCTCTTTTAATTACTTTCCGTTGCGTTTGCGGTTATTCTCATATTAAAGGAAAGTAAGTTTTTATTACTCTGATAAGCAAAAAAACAAAACAAAACAAAACAAAACAAAAACCAGCCCACTTTTAACAGGCCCCTTGCGAACAACAAGGATTTGATTATTTCAAACGCCTCTGATTATTTCCACTCACTACGTGCTCTTCCCAAATTTTTTAGATTCGAAAACCTCGTGGGACCCTGTTTGTGGAACAGCAAGAGCTTTAAGACATTTTTGAATTTGCGTTCATGTTTACTGGGATGGAAAAAGGAAGCGTCCAACCATCTTTTCCACCCGCCAGTCTAACCCCACGAAGGGAAGGTGGTACGGGGCTCATCCGCGCGTAGAGGAACCAACGCCGGGAAATGCGATACCACCCCGCCCCGAGTTTGAGAAAGTCTCGGGCTAACGGGAAACCAGCCCGTTTTCCGCTCGGTCTGCAATTATCGACTCAAAAGTGACAAGCCTTGGCAGCCCAGGGCGCGGAAAAACCTAAGGTGCGTCCACGCCCGAGCCCCGAGCTGGGCAGGGGACCGTACTGTCCTTTCGGACTCGTATCCTGGGCACATTCAGGTGGAAAGGCACGTCCCCGCGGGCCAGGACGGTGAGCCCCTAAGTGCACTCCGGTTGCCAGGCACTCTGCAAGGAGGAAATCAGAGGCCGAGCGGCCCGTCGGTAGGTGGAGCGCTGCCTAGCGGCTTCGGCCTCAAAACAATCCTCGCCCGACCAAAACAAACCCCGCGACACTGACAGCGCGCACAATGGCAGGCCTCAGGGCGGCGATCCGACCCCGAGGGGCCTCTGCGCCCGCGGCGTCGCCAAGTTTCAGGATCACCCAGTCCTGCCGCGGCCCACTAGACCCCGGCCTCGCCCCCGCCGGCCGGGCTCACCTGGCGGTGCCGCCCCCTGAAGACCACGGCGAAGGCCCCGTGTCCCACGAGGTCCCTCTTGCTGTACTCGAAGTCGCCCACCACCTCCATGGCCGCGCCCCCGGGGCATACAGCGGGCGGGCGGGCGGGCGGGCGAGCGGGCAGCGGCGCAAGGCGGGCGGGGCTCAGCACCGCGGGCCCGCCGGCCCGGAGCGCGCCCACGGGCCGCCGGACTGGGGCAGCCGCGGCCCCCGGCCCGAGCGGACACTCATGCCGAGAGGCCGGAGCGGAAACGGGGAAGGCCTCCGCGCGGGGCCGGGGTCAGCGAGGCCTGGCCCGGCCCCGGCCGCTCCTCATGGCCCGGCCCGCCGCCGGCCGAATGCTCCCTTGGCGAAGCGGCCTCAGCGCTGCCCGGCCAGGGGCGCCGCAGCCGTCACTGTGCGCCCCCGGAGCCGCACGCGCGACGGGGAAAGGTGCGGGGCTCGGTCCTCCCCATTCCCAGCTCGTCCGGCCGCGTCGGCCCCCTCAGCCCCGGGTGCTGCTGCGGAGGCGGCCGCCGCCCTAGGACCAGCACAACCACGGTCCGTGCGCGCCTCCCTGCCTCGCAGCGAAGCCCAACGTACACGCGCGCGCCGGCCGCTCCCGAGCCGACTGCCGGCCCTCCGCGACGTCAGCACGTCTTGTAGGACGCAGCGCCCGCCGAGGCCCGCTCCCTCCGCCAGGAAAATGAGTGCGCGCGGATCCCGGGGCGCGGCGCTGCCGTGGAGGCCGGTCCCACAGTCCCTCGCCCAGGTGGGGAAGGAGGGTGCGAGTCGTTGGAACCACAGCTCGTTACGCGCTGCAGCCTTCGTGCAGGGCCTGGGAGCAGATTCGAGCCTGCTACGCCCCGGGCTGGAGCCCACTGGGAGGCGGGCTTCGGGAAAGCGGGTCTTGAACTCCCAACTGCAGGAGGGACCGGGCGTCTCTTGCGCAGTACAGACCTCAGGGAACCGGTCAGAGCAAAGGAGCATATCCTAGAGTCTGGCTTTCCCCGCGCCCTCTGAAAGCGGAGGTCGTGCTGCCAAGCTGCGTGTCTTCCCCGACCTGTCTGGGTTTACTCCCCAGGGTCCCGGAAGATGTGGTCGGGCAGGGGTTTTGCACATTTGGGGGGTGCCTTGACTTCTGTGAGAAGCTGAGGACTGCTCAAGACCCTCTTCCCGGAGAAATGTTTATGCACGCAGACTCGGTATTGAATACATTTTCCACGGCCCTAATAATGAGAACCCCTGCTTCTAGCCCCCAGATATCCTGCTAGTTTGCTCTCAGGCTTACCTTTGAATAGCTTTATGGGAGCTTGCTTTTCTCCCTGATTATTGAAGTTCAAGTGTCAAAGAACTTACCTGGCAACTTTCCTCAAGGAAGAGTCTTACAAAACCTTTTTATAGACAATAAACTTAAAAATATCTTAGAAAACTCAGACCCCATATATCCTGGTACGTTCAGTTGTTTAGTATATTTGCGCTCAGGTTATCCCCTACTACCAGAATTACATTTCCCACCCCAGGTCCATCGCGGCAAACTGACCTGAAGGTGGCACAGAGACACTAAGAACCTCCAGCTGGAATTCTCAGAGGAAGAACCTCCCTTCCTCAAACCTTCAAAATGTAGGGTCTTGGAACTCTTCTATCACTTCTGTGCATACCTACGTCATTCTACCCCTATCTCAAAATCTAGCCCAGGTGAGTGTTGGACACTATGGAGATCTGGAGCCTTCCAAACGGAAAAGCAAATGAAGCAAATATGCACAGAAACACAAAAACTCATCTGGAAATGATTCTTTCCCTGTTTGAAAGCTTCTTCGTTGTAAATGTTTAAATATGGATATTTAAATAGGGTATAGGATATTTTTAAAGGATTTTTTGTATTTATTTGAGAGAGAGAGAGAGAGAGAGAGGCTCGGGATCGATTTCAGGACCCTGAGATCGTGATCTGAGCCAAAAGCAGAGGCTTAACAGGCTGAGCCACCCAGGTGCCCTGGAATATAGGATTTAATGTGCCAATCCCCCCACCACCACCACCAAAAAAATAGGTCTTCAGGAATGCGTCTTATGAGCTGTAGGATTCTGAATGTTACTTATAACTTCCTGTGGCTCAGTTTCCTCACTTGTAAAATGAAGACAGTAACTGCCTCATCAGGTCCATCAAGTGAGTTAAGCATGTGAAGCATTTAACCAGTGCCTGGGTTATCCAAAGAACAATTTAAGAAACTGCCAGGTAAGTAAAGTGAAGTCAAAGCTTTAGGCGGTACTTCCCAAATCCCAGACCGGTGCCCTTAGGACGGTTCCCCCGTCCCTCTTCTGTGTACTCCCCCAGTAGCTCTCCTGTGAACAAAATCAAAGCTGTTCAGCTCCAGGGATGGACCATCTATACCCACATAAGGGTGGTTTATCAAACACATGTCTGGAGAATTCTTCCTATTCTTTCTACAATTCAGAATTGTTCCCTACAGGAACAATTAGCATACATTTTCTGAATAGCAGGGAGCAATGGGGAGGTATACATCTAGACTAGGTCTGGCAGCCTTTCCCATGTTGTACTTGGCAGTCAGCCTCTTGGGGAGCACAGGGGGTACTTTCCCAGGCTGCCCAGAAGTAGCTGAAGATGCTGTCTTCAGGGTCTGTGTGCCAAGACGCCCCTCTGGGAGTTAGTACCAGCCGGGAGCAGCACTCTGACTTTCCTGCTGGTCACCTCACTGTCCAGATGAGGACAGGTATACTCTTTGTCATTTAAGTCAATGTATATTTTACACATATCTGTGTCTCAGACCTTTTGTCATGAGACATAATTCATAACCTAGCCTTGTTCACAAGGTCCTATCCACTAGGAGTTGATGCTCACTATAATTAATATACAATTTTGAGCTGTTTATATTTAATGTCATTAAAATTACATCCCCAGGGGCGCCTGGGTGACTCAGGGGGTTAAAGCATCTGCCTTCGGCTCAGGTCATGATCTCAGGGTCCTGGGATGGAGCCCCACATCAGGCTCTCTGCTCCGCGGGGAGCCTGCTTCCTCCTCTCTGTCTGCCTGCCTCTCTGCCTACTTGTGATCTCTGTCTGTCAAATAAATAAACAAAATCTTTAAAAAAAATTACCTCTCCACACTAGGACATTACAAATTTTATTTGACAGAGAGAGAGAGAGAGAGCACTAGGAGGGGGAGTGGCGGGCAGAGGGAGAAGTAGGCTCCCCACTGAGCAGAACCCTGGGATCATGACCTTAACCAGCTGAGCCACCAGGTGCCCCTCAAATCCAAATTCTTAAGGAAGGGATTCTGATTGGCCCACCTTAGATGAGGTGCACTGAACAATCATCTTAAAGCCAGGGACTGGAGATGAGGGAGGCAATCCAAGCTGTGTAACTAGGACTGTTCCCAAGGCAATTCCGCAGGTGCAACAGAGAGGTGGGGCAGGGGGTGGGGTGGGAGGAAGGTCAGAGAGATGCTCCCAGAAGAAGGGACTAGACGGACAACCCATAAAGTATTTACCATGGGTCAAATTCAGGCTTTCTTCAGGAATGGAGGCAAAGGGGATTTTAGTTTGCTTCTGAAATCACTCAGCGTGACTAATCTGAATCACTTTCATTGGTCTTAATTTGTCCAGTTTAACTCTGTGTGTGCGCATGAGTATAAATGTGCCTATTGATAAGCAATTGAAATGCGTCAGTGCTAGTTAGTAAACTGCATAACAGTAACCTCAATGAGAGGTAAAATGAATTACTAACATAAATTCTAGTATAAACTTCATCAGCCAAATGCTGTAGGATGTCATGGTGAGAAAAGCGCCTCTTGGAAAGTAAATGTGAGGAACGTTCGCAGCCCAGTCTCCTGGGCAGGGAGGTACTGGAGGTTTAGGAGAATTGCTCATTTATCATTCTCTTCAAATGACATCATTGCTTCTATTTCAGTTCTATTGTTTCTACTCTGATCCTGCTGCTGAGGCTTTGAATTCTTGGGAATAGTTAGTATGCAGGGCTTTGGCATTTATACATGCATGAATTTATAATAAATTATTGAAATAAACACATAAAATGAAGAGACAACAAGACTTGGATATATTTTGTAAAGCTTTTAGGAAATATCATAGTCACAATTCTTCTGAATCATAAACAGACTTCTTTCGGTATTATACCCAAAATAGGCTTCAGCCTAGGAATTTGCTGGTAATATGACAACTCTGATAATATGACAACAGCAAGGAGAATCTTTCCATATTGTTCAAGAACTGGAATAAAATTTGCATTTCTAAAATGACAAACAGTTTGATTATTTCACCCAAGATCCCGAGTAGCTTATTTTTGCTATTGCCATAACTGTTGGACCCAAATGGTGCTCACAGTTTGGATCATTAAAAGTTAAAACTGCCGGTGGTGCCTGGTGGCTCCATCATTAAGCGTCTGCCTTTGGCTCAGGTCATTGATCCCAGAGTCCTGGGATCAAGCCCCGCATCCGGCTTCCTGCTCAGCAAGAGCCTGATTCTCCCTCTCCCATTCCCCCTGCTTCTCCCTTTCCCACTCCCGCTGCTTGTGCTCCTGCTCTCTCTCTCTCTCTCTCTCTGTCAAATAAATAAATAAATAAAATCTTTTTTAAAAAAAGTTAAAACTGCTAAACATGTATTTCCTAGGAACAGCCATAATGTTCTGTTCATGCTAACATGCAAAATACAGAATATTTGCAAACATCGCTGAGATAAATTGCAAGGAACATCATGAGTCAGTTTTTTCCAAATAAAGCAACTGAAATATTAAAACTCCTAAAAGAAATATTTTATCGACATATCCTTGTGATCTAGAGCTTTGCGCCCTCTTGTGAAATGCGTATCGACTGAAATGAGAAAACCCTGTCCCAAGTGGGTTTGCAGAAACAGGGGCTGACCTGGAGTTGGGCGCAAGGTGATTATTAGAAATTAACACGGGTGGCAGAAGGGGCTGGGAGAAACATTGGCAGAGAGAGAACTGGGATGCAGGCTTGACCAAGCCTGGGCCACGGCAGCAGAAAGCTCTGGAGCGAAGCCTCAGACTTGACTTACACTCAGCCCGAATGCCCCAGCTCACCTCATCACCAGATAGGGCTGAGCTGCAGGTGTGTGGCCCCCATGGGCCAGGCTGCTGTCAGGCC